CAGACAGTTTGTTGCTTGAAGAAAGCTAAAATATTCTAGGAAGTCAGGCTAGCTGAATTTAGATCTTAAGTGATGCCAAAACTAATATAGCCTGTAACCAAGTGAGAGTGACTTTGCACAGTAAATGTCAGTCACCCGCAGCCTTGTCTTACATTTTCATATGAGCCTTTAAAAAAAAAAAGAAAGGAAAACACAAACAAAACCCCAGAAAACGTGGTAGCTGCTTACATCCAATCGAGTTATAGCTACAGTCTACTGCATGGGGAGAGACTGCTCCTCATCCTCTGCTGTGCTGGGGGCTGGAGATGGGGTTGGACTTGTCAGGGCATGAGAGGGAGCTGGGCTGGCCTGGAGTGCCCTCTCTTGGCTACTGCAGAAACCTCGCCTTCTGCTGAGGACTAGTCAGTCGCTCGTGTTATCATGTTAATTTTCCAGTGTGACGGACAGAGGTAAGCTGTATTGCTTATAGTGCCAGATTTGCTTCCTAAGGACCTGTGACAGCTTCCTGAGTGTGAATCTTTGGTGCCCATGGCAAGCTTGAATCCCTCACTTGAAGCCACAATAAAGCTGCGTGCTCCAGCAGCGTTGCACGTAGGAGTCTGTTAACTCGGTGCTCCTGGGACTCTTAACATTTTAGCAGAGCTCAGGTTTTTTTAAGAGACTTCATACTGCTCCAAATCCAGGGATCCCGGAGGCAGCAACTGCAGTGGCCTCTGCTTGACTCTTTGCACTGCTAAATGAATCCAGAACAAATGAGGCTCTGAAAATAAGAAGAAAAATTTGACACCTGGACTCCAGGAAACATTTGTGGATTTTGATGAGGAGCAGTAGAGGGGAAGGGAAAGCCTACGGTTCAACATAGTTAAATATATGGTGTGCTAAGTATGAATAAATTGTGACTATTTTAAACAAGTTCATATAGTCTGTGGCTGGCTCAGGCACAAAGGACAACAGCTACAACATACTTGTTCCTCAAAGGGTTACCTGTGGGCCAGCATCTCGGGCTACTGGTGGTGCGTGTCAGTGGTCAAATTTCATCCTTTATACAAGTGGCAATTTTTAAATTTTTTTACATGTAATTCTTTTCTTTTATTTTTTTTTTAAAGTATCCCTGTCAGTGCTTGTGAGTTAGGAGCTTTTGTCTCCTGATAGCATTACTTTGCAGTCTGATTCCCTTCTTCACTCTTCATAAGTGATTTGTGTAAAGGAATCCTTCACTAAACAGAGCTTTAAAGTTCCTCTTTAAATATACCCAGCCCAGTTCATGCCCATTTTAAGGTGACCAAGTTGCACAGGGGCTGTCCTGTGCACACTCCCTCTGCTGTAACTCAAAGTTGTGTAAAAATTTCTTGAACTATTTAAGTTGAGTCACTCCTGTATTCCAGCCGAGTAGCTTTACAGCAATGTCTTAGCTCTGGGTTTGGGGAGAGGGTTTCTTCCCAGCCTGTAAACTCCATCCAAGTAAATGAGCCTTTCACTTTAAAGCAGAGACTGAAATCTGGTCCTGACTGCTAGTGCCTAAAAATCACTATTATCTGGCTTAACATGAGCCAAGTAAAATGAATCAAGAGCCTGAGGGTAGGCGTGCAGTCACAGTTAGTGCTGTTTTTTAACCTCGAATGGCTCTGGCTGGTCTGTTAACATGGAGGTGGCCCCAAAGTCTGTCAGGGCACTGTGGGAGTGAATTTGCTTTATGTAGTTAGGATAGAAGTCAAGAATCTGATTTTTCAGCCTACTACTACACTGCTTTCTTTTAAAAGCAAGACAACAACCCACGCAGTCCAGTTGCACTCGCTGTTTACAAGATGTGAATGTGAATTCAGTGCTTGCTGTCTTGTTTTAGCAGGTGACGTTCTTTGGGGTGCGTTTGGGTTTGGGTGTAAATCATTAAAAACAATTGTTCCCTTTGTTTTGGTAAGAAAAGCATTGGTAAGAATTTTTGGTAAGAAATTCCTGTTGTATTTTAAAGAATCTGTATTAAAGATTACACCTTGAAATTCAGTAGGTCTGTGTCTTCACGTGCCGCTTTTGTTGCATTCCTCGTGGCAATCGCGTTGCGATTCACGGATCCGGGTAAGAAACGCTCAGGGTTTTACAGTGCTGCTGGCGTTACTGGCTTAGCCCTGTCGCCCTGTAGTTTATATTGCTCTTCTCTTCCTGTGCAAGAGCTCCCTCTGCTTGAAAACAGCAGTGTAATTATAACCCCTGTTTTGTATTTGCCTGATCAACGGTTTTTAATATGGGCCCCTTTTTTAAGAAGATTTCTTCGGCTGCTGGTCATCATGAAGCAATTCTGACACGTGGCTGATGCTCACGCGTGTTGCAAACTAGTGATGGTAACTGTACTGTTCTCAAAACTTCTATTCCATAGGAACTGTGTGTGTTTCATTTTTAGCATGAGGGTTAGGGTTGCTTGGAACACTTTTTCAGCTAAATTATCTCTTACCAAATCATGATGATTTATAAAAGTCAAAATGTTTTTATTTCAGTGAAAAATTAAATTGAAACAGGACTGTTTCTTATCAGAAATGTGGTAGTTTGGCCACTGACCTTGAATATCTGCATAGAAGCAGCTAATGGTGAGATTCCCACGTCCTGCTTAAGTGGTTCTGATCTGGAACCCAAAAAAAGCAGTTTTGGATCAGACATGAGCAGGGATGTGAACCTGGTTCTCCCACATTCTCAGCCAGCACCATAATTACTGGGCCAGTCATTCACTTGCAAATATTTTTTTTTCAGCTTATCTGCATCAGTTAGGGTGAGTGCTGGTTTTGTTTTGTTCATTTTTTTTTTTATCAATATAGCTAAGCCAGCAAAAGTCATAGTATAAAAGCTGTTGTGTCAGCAAAGGTGTAGTTTTGCTGAGAGAGCATTCACCCATTTAGGAACCAGCATAACCCTTGCTTGCCATGGCAAGATGAGCCCACGATAGGAGAACTTGCTGGTTTAGTTCTATTAGCAAAGCCTTCCTGATGTGAACGGTGCCTTCCTCGCTCAAAAACGGCTGTCTCAACATGATCCTGGTTTTGCAAAGAAGTCCAAAAGGTTATTTTTATTTTGCGTTGGAGCAAACTCAAAAATTAAAACCATCTCAGAAGTCTGTGTCAAACGGAGTGTTTGTTCTGTGGTCAGCTGTCATCAGGATGGTTAGGCACATGGTTTTGTTGGCAAGGGCAGGCAAAGCTGACTCTCTACACAAAGGGCAGCAGTAACTTTACATTTTCAGAATTCAACACTCTTAAAACAAAACCTTTTTTTTTTTTTTTCCTCTTTTTTTTTTTTTAAAAAAACATCTTGGATTCTTCTTCTGGACTTCCTGCATTTGGGGTTGTTTTGTTTCTAAAAAGATTTCCAAAGTGTCTGCAGAACATGGGTAGCTCGCTGTTTGAAACAAATGAAATCCTTTCCCCTCGGCGTCGTGCGAGGCAGGTTGGAGCAGAACAGTCGGACAGCCCGAGCGTATTGGCACGGGTTCAGGAGGCTGAACACCACTGCGCGGCAGAAGGAGGTCGCTGGGCTTGATTATCAAGACATGATACTCACAAGGAAGCCTCTCCTGTACAATGTGGATACCCAGCGTTTGGGAAGATTATAAAATGGCAGGATTAAACAGTGGAACAGGAGAGAATTATTAGTAATGTGTCTTTACTTGAATTCAGCTTCAGCGTTCTGCTGAGCTCTAATTTCAGTTCTCTCATTTCAGCCCTTTACAGATATTACATTCATTGCCTCATATGTTTGCACATACCTTAAAAAAACATGTTCCCTTGGAAAGCAATGTATAGTTACATAAAAATAAAGAGTTAAAAAAGCATTCCTGTTTTCAAATTAACACTAAGCTGCCTAATTCATGGTGGTCTTTGTGATTTGTATTTTGCCCTTTTTTTTTTTTTTTTTAATCCCTCCCATGCCCTGAATAAGATGCAAGTAGTCCTGAGGGAAAAATAGTGCATGATTATACATTTGAAGACCCAGTGCATTCAAGGAGCACTTCTGAACTTTATGAGCCCTTAGCAAAGGGGAGAAAGGCTAATTCTAATCTTAAAAAATCAAACAAAAACCCCCAAAAAATCCCCCATACTTTTTTTTTTTTAATCTTTCTACCACTATATAATAACTTATGATCATTTCATTGGATTGAGGATGAATTTTTAAATGGCTGAATGCATGATAGTAATGGTACGTGACACAATGCAAAGGCTAATACTGGGGGGAAAAAAAAATGAGTGAATATCTTTGCATCAGTTTACAGTCTCTCCAATCTGTAGAATATTTTCTACTTCACGTTATTCTGTATTCAGTACTACAGTGTTCCTTGTCTTCAGAAATAACCTTAGTTACTCTTCTGTTGTTGTCCCCTGTATTCTCTGTTAAGGAAGCTTCGTGGGTGGAGAAAATGTCTTT